GCAACGGCAGGCGGACTCTCAAGCACTGCGCCACCAGGGAAGCCCACTACTTTTCTTTTTTAAAATGTTCTTTTGAGTGCATTTCTTGCCAGAATAACAGATATAGAAGTAATATTTTTTAGCATGAGCTAGTACTATGTACAGACTCAATTACTGAATGAATAAACATAAATAAACATACAAATAGCAACTAATAACACAAAATGCTTGAATTCAGAAAACCACACAATATTAGGGAATTCCAATATTAAATACTACATTAAAGAATTCGGTCCACTAGGGGTTCAAAGTTCACATGATTGTATATGAAGGCTTCATTTGATCAGCATCATTCTATATGAATATGTTATTCTTTATCAAGTTTCCAGATAGCTGAAGTTTATTTACATCTTGAAGGCCTTATATTACCTAGTTTCCTGCTGTCTTAAGACAGAGAATACTATCCATGTTTTCTTGAAGATTAAGATCACTGTGACCAGCCGTAATTCTAACTATGCTGGAACACACAGCACAATTCAAACTGCATTTTAAATGTATTATCTTCTTTGCCGTCAAATGTGATGTTTTATGGATAGCACCATGTTTACCAACATGGCAACCAGCTTGTACCTTTCCCTCCTCCCTTATCCTTTTCTGTTTCAGCTTTTAATCCACACTGGGTGGAGAAACCAGAAAACAGGTTAGGCCCTTGGTGGTAAGGGGCTGAAGTATTTTCCACGAAGAGTTTGAGTTCCAGCACAGCTTTAGGGCTGGGACTTTTTGGCTTGTGTAAAGTAAGGGTACAGGTATCATTGTAGCTGAGCTTGTATGTTTTAGATTATTAAAAGTCTGGCTTCTAACTAAGGGGGGGGGGATAAATTAGTATTTAATTATTATAAAACAGTGATACTTTTGTGTTGATATACATAGCCTTTAAGCCAATCCAATTAACTGGCCAAATGGAGATCAACCGGATCATCTTAACTGAGAATGGTTTCTGGTTAAAAAAAAAAAACCCTGTAAAACATGAAAGAGCACTTTAGCACTTGGAAGGAAAGATGTATGAGTGCTTCAGGGGTTCTGTGGACTTGCACAGGAACAACAGGACTTCAGAATGGAATTACCCTACATTTTTTCCCACCTAAGAAGTCATCCCGATGTAGGAAGGAGAAAGAAGCCAACTCCAAAAAATTCTTTCTTCAAGCAGGAATACAGACTTATAGAATTTTCAACAGTTGTAAAAACACCAAAAAACCCCACACAACCTATCTTAATAATTTCATTAACTAACCTTGCTTAAGTATACCAAACTTTAAAACTATTTTGAAATTGGTATATTTATGCTATATTTTTGGAAAAAGAAATCTACACAGTCTTCACAAAAAATAATTTCGAGGTTGCATATCTCAAGCAAGGACACTCGCTGGGAATTCCCACGTGAAGTTTGATTTGGAGTAGTGTGATCACCCCCTAAGAAGCACTGTTTGAACAGGACAGGGTAGTGGCCATCCACAGGAGGATGGCAGGAATGGAGACAAGAGCACCCTGTTGGGAGAGGAAGAGACTTAGGTCCCAAATGATGACCTGAGCCGAGAGCTCCAGCAGAGACAAGCAGCACTTGATGCCTTACCTGGCTTCTGTATAACTGCGTTGCAAGCATTTGCAATTTCTTCTCTCTTTGCTTCATCTGGGTATTGATTCTCATTGAAGTAACTGCAGAGGCAACCAATTAAGACACAAAGTTTGTACTTTTAAAAACTGTGCTCTCCTTAAAACACCAGCCCACTGAAAAAGATGTTCTTCTTTAGGATGTAACATTAGAGTGTTTGGTCCAGCCTGTCCAATGGAATTTTCTGTGAGGATGGAAACGGTCTGTTCTGTACTGTCCAACAGGGTAGCCACTACTCACATGTGGCTGCTGAGCACGTGATATGAAGCTGATGTGGTTGAGGAAGGGAATTTTTAATTTGATTTAATTTTAGTAAATTTAAATTTAAGTAGCTACATGTGACTAGTGGCTTCTATATTGGATAGTACAGGTCTGGCCACTGCTAGGCTTCATTAAAAGATGTCCTTGAAAAAAAAAGTTACTTGTGATATGGGTGGCTGGTTGAAATCACAGAGTTCTGTTATTAAGGCACTGGTAACAATAGGACTCTCTTTGCATGTCATGTTTGTAGTAGCAAAAGTTGGAAATTACCCAATTGTCCCATCAGTAGGAGAATGACAGAACAAATTATGGGACATCTATATTTATACATAGCTATTTAAAAATTACAAGAAAAACTATCCATTGGCCTGGAGAGATGTTTATGACACAGTCCTAAGTGCAAAAAACAATCTGTAGAATAATGTGCATGTAAAAGTACTGTTAAGAAATTTGAAAAATTCCTGTCTATGTGTACTTAAATTTGCATGGATAAAAGCTGGAAGGGTACACATCAAGCTTGATTACCTCCTTGTGGGAGAAGGGGATTCGTAAGAGGAAATTTAAACATTTCTCAATTTATTTTTGCCTTTTCCCCTATGTTAAAATAGCATATATTACTTCTATACAATAGTACTTAAAGAAATTAGGCTTACTGGACCCATCCCTAGCATTATCAGATCTGTGAGACTATATGTGGGAACAGAATGCTTATTAGTACTATCTGTTCTGTCATCTATGAGTTAAAAAAAAAAAAGTGGACTTCCCCGGTGGCGCAGTGGTTAAGAATCTGCCTGCCAGTGCAGGGGACACGGGTTCGAGCCCTGGTCCGGGAAGTTCCCACGTGCCGCAGAGCAACTAAGCCTGCGAGCCACAATTACTGAAGCCCGCGCGCCTAGAGCCCGTGCTCCGCAACGAGAAGCCACCGTAATAAGAAGCCCACACACCGCAACAAAGAGTAGCCCCTGCTCGCTGCAACTAGAGAAAGCCCGCGTGCAGAAACGAAGACCCAACGCAGCCAAAAATAAAATATAAATAAATATATAAAAGACAAAAAAGAAAAAGTGAATTTCTGTGCTTTGAACCTGGAAACTTAAGTTCAGGAAATGATTCCTTGTTAAATTCTAGTACCTCTCATCTCCTCAGGGGCTTCCCTTCCCCCAGAAAGCAGCTTTCCCATTCCTTCACCCTCTCTGTCTGCACTGGTGAAAATGCCATTCTACTGGGAATAAACACTGGAGGCCCCTAACCCTTCCTGTGAATCCCCAAACCCGCCTTCTGCAATGCCACTCCCTTCCCCTGAAGCCCTCTCCATGAGACCATCCTTCACTGTAGTCCTGACACAGCAGCTGCCATCACCAAACAGCCTTTCCTTTTCTAAAATATAAGCGGTAGAACTATATCATCCAGTCTTGTCAACTACCACCCTCCACAAATGGTCTCCTGCTTAAGTCCAAGATTTAAGCATCTCTTCCCACGTGACATTCTGCTATCATTTTTAGGGCTTCCGTGTTCATACCGAGAGTTCTTCCAATCTCTGCTCCACTTCCACATTCCTATTGACTTTTATCTTTACTCCACTTCTGCTGTTTACTTGGGCAAAGACACTCTGGATTAGTTTCCATTAACCAGCATCACGGGCATCACCTGGCAGCTTGTTAGAGAGGCAGAATCCCAGACCCCACTTCAGACTAAACCAGAATCCCAATGTTAACAAGATCTCCAGGTGATTCGAATGCACATTAATGTTTGAGAAGCACTGGATTAGCTCATTCATTTAAAATTCAACAACAAAGACAACAAAAGCAGATATTAAGTACCTAATGTTATGTGCATCCACTGTGGGTAAAGAAGAGAATTAGTTTCTGACTTCAAGGAGTTTATAATCTACTGAAGACACATATAAATCAATACACTTGTGATAAAATTCCATAGGATGTCTGAACAGAGCAGAGTTCAGACAGACGAGGTGTGCTCAGTGTTGCTGAATGACCTGGCAGAGGAAGTGCCGTCTGAGTTAGGTCGTGAAGATGAACAGGAGTTTGCAAGGCAGAGGAGAGGAGGAAGAACATTTCACGCAAGGGAAAG